TTGAAGAATTAGCACGTTGTCTCAAACATGTTCCGCTCCGCGTGGAAGCTGCTTCATTATCTCTGACTGTATAAACTCAAGCAGCGGTGACTGTTTACTGAAACAACCTGTAAATGTGTTAGCCCGTGTTTGCAGAGGATAAGGACTGTGCCATCCCAAGCCCACTTCAGACCGTAAAAGTGGTTCTTTTCTCACCCTTATCTGAATCATCCTTGAACAGGCTGCCTCTGAACAGAGCTTACACTCCTCCTCTTTGATCTACTTCATAAGAACATCAGAATTGTTTACTTTGAAATGCACACATTTCTTTCTTGGGATGCAGGGGAAAAGAGATGGCGTTTTAAGACATGAGCAGATACATTCAAGCGAACAAGTAATTTTCCCAGTGTCTTCTATCCTGTCCAATATCCTGACAAATAACTGTTCGTTGCATAATTTTATTCTTAAATAAACTCATAGGCATGAACTCAAATTATTCAAAACGCCCCATCCTGTTTTCTGAAAATGACCTAACAAATCGCTATGCAAATGTCTGCCCTCTAGTTTCAACCATTCTCTCCCCGAAGGCGTCTTAAAATCTCTGATTCTACATAAACTGAAGCCAACAAGCGTACCTAAGACTTCAGAGAAAGATGAGAGTCCTGACTGCAGCACTCTGCCTCGTGGACAGCACCAAGAAATAGTTAATCCTGCATTTTTCAAGTAACTCCAAGCTCAAATAACCTCTACCCACCCAGACTTAGAGAACAGAGTTGCTCACAGGCATATTGGTAAGATACTGTATCAGTATTTCTTCAAGACTTCAAGATTTCTATCTGATGAAGACTTGTTCCTACCTCACGTCCTTACTTCCTTTGCTGATGATAGGAAAGGGGATTCTACCAAGCCTTTCACCAAACAGGCAAAAGGCTCGCAAAATTTGGGTATAAGACTCATAAAAGAGGCTTCTCCCTGTCCTTCTTTGTTATCTGTCCCTTCTGAATCCTCGTCCTTCATAGCAGAAGATAAAGACTGGAAGTCACAGGGGCCGAGGGCAGCTCGAGCAGCGGGAAGAAGCCCAGGCCGTGATGCAATTCCAGCACCTACGTGGTGAGACGACTCCGCGCTGCACTTGGCGCCAGGTCAGGCAGCCTTGAGTTCTGCAAACTACTGCGCTCGGAGATTAGGCGGATGTAACAATCACCTGAAAGGGAAGATTAAAGCGCTTCTCAATGAGGTCCTTTGTCCCCGGCCTCATTTGATGCTCTGGGTCTTTTCAAACCATGCCGGGGACGTCGCTTTAAATGTTTGCCCCGGCATCCGGGGCGGCTCCAGTGAGGGCCGGCGGGGCTGGGGACATGGAGAAGGGGCCCTTCTCGGTGGAGTGGCTGGCCCAGAGCAGCAGCGGCGGAGCCCGAGAGATGCCCGGTGAGTCCCGGCCGTGCCCTCTGGGTCCCCCCGCACAGCGGCGGGCGCGGCGCTTTCGGTCACCGCGGGGGGGGCACGGCCGCCGCTGTGTCACACAGCCCGCGGGGCCCGCCGAGGGAAGGGTCCCCCCTTCAGACGCTCCATCTGTCCCCGCAGGCTCGGCCCGGGAGCGGGAGGCCGCGGAGCGCCCCGGGCACGGAGCGGTGGCGGCGGGCGCCGCGCCCGGGCGGCCCCGCACCAAGTTCTCGGCGGCGCAGCTGCAGGAGCTGGAGCGCAGCTTCCGCGAGCAGCGCTACATCGGCGCCGGCGAGAAGCGGCGCTTGGCCGCCGTGCTGAACCTCTCCCAGAGCCAGGTGAGCGCGGCCTCGCCCTCCGCCCGAGCGGGACACGGGCCCCCGGGGGTGGGAGCCACCTCACGGTCACCGTGGGACGGGGCAGTGACAGTGACAGCGACAGTGACAGTGACAGCGACAGTGACAGTGACAGCTCCGGCCCGTCAGCCTCGCCCCACTGGCAGCAAACGGGGCTTGAGCGAACTGCCAGCCCTGCCTCACCCGGCACGGCTGCGCCCGGCTCAGCTCCGAGTGCTCCAGGGACAAGGGGCAAAGGGAAAATGGTGAATGCAAGTTCAAAAGCTGAAACTTCACTGGGGGTAAAAGTACTTTTGCAATCTCCAGAACCTCAGTTTTCAGGCTAAATCTTTCTCATGGGTATGTATCTATTTGACAGGATTTTTGTGCAGAACTACCCCCACCCTTTTAGCCCCACTGCACAAGTCTTGTGTTACAGCCCTGGTCCATATCTGAGTGTTGGCTTGCCATGTATCATGGAGTGTTCAAGTCCTCATCATGCCAAGACAATTACTCTGCATTAAATATAGGTCAAATTTGTTAACCCTACACCTTTACTGTTAATGCATTCTGTTACTTTGGCAATAAGTCTGTGTTCAGGGTATATATTACTACACGGAAAAGGGATAAAGGGCTTGGTTCTTGACTCTTTTTTCTTATCCTCAGATAAAAACCTGGTTTCAGAATCGTCGTATGAAGTTCAAACGCCAGACTCAAGATGCCAGGATCGAAGCTCTTTTCTCGGGCTTGTTTTTGCCCTATCATTGTTACCCAGACACGGCTACATCCAGCTATCCTCATGGGGTGGATGTCAATGTCTCTGCTACCTCTGCTGTTTCCCTTCACCCAGCTGTGCCAAACCCTGCCTTGTTGTTACCTTCCGTTCCAGCTCAGTCTCTTCAGCCAGTTTTGCCAAGTCCAGCTTTACTACTGCCTCCCAGGCCAGGATTATCTTCTGTGCTTCCAGCAGTGACTCTAACCACCGAACATAAAAGACTGATGTTCCAATCAGATCTTCCTTCCTGTTAAAAACGTGAACGATTATCTGTAATCTCAAAAAAGTGCCAAATACCTCTTAAGAGTAACTCTTTAACTTATTTTGTTTTATTAAATAAACTAAAGATTCTTTGAATTATTTTTTAACATAAAAAAACTTGATCAGAAGAGAAAATAATTTATGCATATTAGAGAAGTTATACTGAGAGTGGAAGTGGAGGATATGAAATCTCTTTATTCCTACAGTTGTCACCATGCTGCATAGAAATTTCTATATAAATTTTCCTATCTAAAAGTTTTCAGAAAATAACCTATAATCATGTGGGGATATCCACTAAAAAAGTGGGGTACTGTATACACTGAAATTTATGTAGTTACTATGTCATTTAATAGGCAATTGTGGGGGTTTTTAAGGAAACATTTCTGCATTTAAATTAAAATGTTATTGAAGATAAAAACACTATGAACAAAACTGAACAAGTTGCCCAGTAGTCTCTTTTATGTGCATATTCTGCACCATTCTTCAAGTGGTCTCATCTGCTTTTTGATGGACATGTTGCATTTATGCACTAGAAGAGAAATAAAGGTAAAGAATTAACAGGCAAGCATGTATGTTGGTGCCAATGTCAAGCACACTAGCAATTTAAATCTGCTTATGAAAACGAATTGTTCGTCAATTCAGGTCTCTTGGGACACTCAAAAAGAAAATATTTAATTTTTTACTTCCAAAAGTTGCAGCTGTAACTTGATAGCCTTCCTAATTTTTAAACTGCAGAATTAGTTTAGCCTTGATTTTAGGAATACTTAGGCCTGTTCCTAAAAGTCACAAAGCAAGTTTTATGGAAAGTGGCAAAGCCAAGCCTTTAGACAATGGGAAACCAGAGACCTTATATCCGTATAAAGCAGGTGTGACTACATCTCCTTCTCCAATGCAGACCAATCTAACTTGCTTGCTAGGTGATGGTTAAGACTATTCTGCAGCTGTAAAGAGACAAAAATCTAACACAAAACAAAATATAAAAACCACTACCACCCAAACCCTCCATTCCTCTTCTCACAAGGTAAAAAAAAGGGGCCTGCTGCAGCTTTGTGCCATGCATTCCCTTTCCCCTCTCCTCCCTCCACCCTCCATGGCTTGCCCCCCAGCAGCCTCCTCCATCACGTTTGGTAGACAAAAGGGAGGAGGGGAAGCTGGGAGACACTCGAAGGAATTTCCACCATGCCCCTTCTCTGCCCCACCAGGGCAGCACCGATCCGTGACACAGCCAGGCAGCTGCAAGGACGACCTGTGCATTTCTAGGTCACTTAGAACACACTTCACAGAAAATTCTCTTTGCCTCTTCTAAGTATTTTTTTCACAAGTGAGAAGCCCCTAGGCTATTACATAGAAACTCATACGACTCACTGAATTAGAGGGCAGAGGGTAGAAATTTAGACTACACTGCAACAATCAAGTAATGTATTTCAAAGGCCTTACAGGTAAAGTAACAAAACAAAATTAAAATTAATTAGATTTAAAAATTAAAATCTAGACTAAGAAATAAGTGTTAAGTAAGCGCTGCTAGGAGTGAACACCTATCCCAGGAAGAACTACAAAACCCCCACATTTCAGGATTACTAAAACAAAACTTGTTTAAAGAGAATAGATCAAAATGCTAAAAAAGTGCAAATTGCCAAGTATACAATTATAGTTGTTTTCTACTGGTGAGACAAAGGCCAAATTTTCAGGCTACCATTCCAATCAGATGATATGGCTTTGAACCAGACACAATTACACCCAATTTTTTTTTGCCTAGAGCTTGCTTTGTTAATTGTAAAACTTTAAACGTCCATAATGAAAGCCTGATCAGTTAATTCCTGTTTAAAGATATGCTGATTTAATATTATTACCACTTCTTCACATGGATGATGGTACTGTATTTTTAATATTAGATTTATATATATACAGAAGAGAAACTCACTGGCAGGTTATCCTTCCTCTGCAGGATTTACTTAGCTCAAAGCACAGTGCAGGGCAACTGGATGCAGTTGTCTCTATCCAGGCAACCAAACACTCAACAACAGACAGACAATCTCAGTAGGACAGTAGGAAAATCAAGACAAAATTTAACCATTAAATCCATTACCTTTACACAGGAGGACAAGTGACCACTGCAGTTTTCACTGCACAAGTGCAGTCTTTTATAGAGTTGACACATATAACACTATTCATATTTTATTTATATATATATATGCACAATTTTTAAAAACTAGGGGGAGCAATGAAAACCATCTACATAACACATTTTAGACTAGATTAGTATTTTAATATTAATTATCAAATATAAAATTATTCATGTTCATATTTAACTTAAAATAATAGACATTCGTCCAAATTAGGAAGAAAGTCTGAGCATGAAATACATTACAGTATAAAACACTTCTTTATCACTATAATGCATATACTGGGTGGCATTGCCTGTCCATTTTGTTCTGAATAACCGGATGGAAAGAAGGATGAGGAAGAAGGTGTTGATGGTAGTAGGGCAGTTCATTTGCCATAAAGTGGTAGGTGCTTTGCGATGCGTCGTATCTGGGAAAGGAGAAGCTGAACTGCACAGCAGGCATCGGGGTGAAAGGCAGGAGTCTCTGGTGCTGGGCAGCAAAGGGGTAGTGGAGACCGTCCTGAAACAGAGCTGGCGAGGTCCCCGGGGCGTAGCTGTGGAATGGAACAGGGGACACGAGGCTGTGCTGGTGGTCCTGTATCTGTCTCTTCAGTTTCATCCTCCGGTTCTGAAACCAGGTCTTGATCTAAGCAACAAAAAGAAGGGGGGGATGAATAAGACAGATCAGGGACTTTGCCTAAGGATAATGAGCAAACTATGAACAACTATCTCAGCTGCTTTTGCCATTTTGCTTCAGACAGAATTGACACAGCGGGACTGATGCTTTTGCCCTACTTAGCAGGAGGCAGAGGATCTGCGGGATGTAGAGGAAGAGTGGTTGCGTTCAGGGATTTTACAAGAATCAATTAAGAGTCTTTAAGACCAGTTTTGAGCTCTGCATGGTCTACATGCAGATAGCCGTATATCCAGGACAGTTTATCTCACTAAGAAATAAAAAAAACCCCTTGGTTTCCCGGAAGAAAGTGCTGCAAATTCCCCGGAGTCCTAACTTTTTAATCCCCGAGGGATCCCACAGCCCCTACTAAACTCAAGAGTCGGTTCATCTCAGGTAAGACAGATATGGAACCGCCGACTCTGGCTGCTCCTGCCAGGCGGGGCCGCGAAGGGTCTGCTTCCTGCGGGACTAACCTGGATCTCCGAGAGCTGCAAGGCAGCCGCCAGCTTCCTCCGCTCCGTGGCGCCCAGGTACTTCTGGCGCTGGAAGGTCTTCTCCAGGCGGCAGACCTGCTCCGAGGTGAAGGCGGTGCGCGCCCGCCGCTGCCGCCCGCGCTCCCCGCCCGCCGCCGCGGCCCCGGCGCGCTCCCCGCCCGCGCTCTCGCTCTCGTAGCCCGAGGACTCGTCGGCGCTGAGCCAGCCGCCGTCGGGGGCTGCACGGAGGAGGAGGAGGAGGAGCGGCGGTGAGGCCCCTGCCCGGCTGGGGCAGCGCCTCCGCCGCCCCTCAGCCCTGCCAGGCCGGCGAGAGCCCGGATCCCGGCGTGTCCCCAGCCCGCTCCCCTCTTCTCTCGGCCTCCCATCCACCTCTCCCTCCCCACCCACCTGTCTCCGACGGGCAGGGGTCGGTGATGTCCCGGGGATCGTCTCGGCTCCGCTCCGCCGCGCAGGGCTCGCTGTCCGCGGGCTGGCCCGGCTGGGGGCTGCTGCGCCGGGGCTTGGCTCTGACCAGGAGGGTGGGACTGCCCAGAGAGCTGGGGGCGCGGGGAGGGGGCGCACAGCAGATGTGGGGCCTGGCCCCGTGGGGCTTGGTTTCTGCCGAAGGGATCTGGGCCTGATTCATGGCGGAGAGCGGCTGGGCGGCCCACGGCCGTGGCCCGCTCTTATATGGGCGCTCCGTCCCGGGAGAGGTCGTTTGTAAGTGCGAACACACATCAAAGTGGGAATCGAGCAGAGATAACAGCTACCAGCGAGGAGGAAAGTTCACACGTCTGGCAAATGTCTACAGCCCTTGGCTCCAGCGTGTCTGCGGGGCCGGGGAGACCCCCTTGAAGTGCAAAGCTGCCCCTCTCCCCTGGAGGGCAGGGCACGGGCAGCCCCAGCCCCGCAAGGGGCGTCTAAAGACACCGTGGCTGCCGGTGGCAGGGCGGGTTTACCGCTCCCTTTTCGATCGCGGGGTCCCACCCTGCACAGATGCCCGAAACCAGCCCCGAGACCCGCACCCGCGGCGCCGAGGCAGAGGCGAGGGACGACAAACCTCGGGTAGAGCCTCTGTCAGTCCCACCGTCCTTTTTCCTCCCTGGGAAAAGCCATGGGGGGCCAATGTCAAGAAGTCCCTATCCACGGGGCTCAACCCTCACTCTCCGGGCCAGAGCCAGGAGGGGGTGAGCAGAGCCTCGGGCCCTCTCAGCTTGAACTTGGCGCCGTCTGTCTAGCCAGAAAACGCAACCCATCTCCCCAATCGTTTAGTGATCAAAGCGCTAAGTGAGCAGGGGAGCTCGCACCTCATCAGCTTCATACTACCCCAATCCATGTGCCGCTTCCCGAGAAGAACGGTGCTCTTGTAATGCAGGGAGGATACCGAGACATCTCCCAGCACAGCTTGGCTGGGGGAAAGGAGCATTTCGGCAACTCAGCCCGTCTCCAGGTTCTCACTTTGTTCACCTTCACTGGGCTTTTGGTCACGCTGTAAAAAATACCACACCAAGCACGAGCACACCGGCAGTAGCGAAACTTTAATAACTCACATCCTAACTCTCGCTTAAAGGAGAATGGAAGCGAGAACAAATCCCTCTAACTGCGTAAATGCACTGATAAGACCTCAATTTCAATGACGATTCCAAAATCCTCAGAGTTCCTGCTCGGATGAGTCACCGGAAGAAGTGGACACCATAAGCCTGTGTCTAACAGGGAAGTAGTTTGTTTCTTTCTAAAACACAGCAATAATCTAGGTTCACACACACGTGGGCAATGTGAGGAGGAAAAAAATAAGTTAACCAAGCCCCAAAGTAAACCACCTCCCCAGTTTACTATGAAAATAATTTGGAAAAACCTCATATTCGTTCTGTTAATTTTCATTGTCTCAGGTGTTCCCGTAACTCCGTGGCCGCGGGAATGTGTAGAGGATTATCGACCCCTCCCGATCCGACAAAGTCGGCTTATCCCCACACTGGCCCCGGGGAAGGGATAAAATCCAGGCACCTGAGCAATGCAAACACCTTACCAAGCCCACAGAGCCCAAGAGCTGGATGCCTCCTAGGGCTTTGCTTGCAACACCATCCCCTCAGGGCAGGGATGGGAAAGGTTGGTGTTGCCTCGGCACAGTCCCGACAGAGAGATTGCCCTGCTCTTTGAAGGGTGCTGGGCCCAGTCACTAAAGGAGTTTCACTTACTGCTGGCGCAAGACTCATTTTGGCTGATATTCACAAGAAATGCAAATGCCCAAGCAGCTGAATACATCTGGACCCCACCCTGGATCAGAACCGCACGCCACTGACCCAACCAAAACCACTGTAACACAAACATTTAAATCCGAGACACATTTCAGTCAGGCAGGGATAGGTTCTGTTCCCCAAATGAACTAAGAGCCTGCACATTAGTTTTAATAACTTCAGGATTTAATAAATGTTCCTTAACTATTCCACTCGTGTTTGGTTTGGTCCCTCTTTTTCTGAAGCATCGCTATCTTATCTCCAATCTTATGTCAGAGCAGCAACTTCTGAATAACCTCATATGTGGACAAATCCAAGCAGAAAAACTCCTATTTTACCACAGAGAAACTAATTTACCTGACCAGAAAGAAGTTTAGACAAAATACAGGAAAACCACCGGTATTCAGGAGCTCCTAAACGGAGCTCACACCTACCTAGCAAGCAGCGTGGACTCTGCTTCCAGCAGGGCAGGCTCCCTCACCCTTTCTCCAGCAGAAGAAATCCGTGCCAAACCAGGCAGCCTTGGGTGCCCCATGGCCTGCAGGCCCCTCACCCGAGCACACAGAAACACCCAGGGACTACCCTCTAGGAGAGACACTTCATCCCCAGCTGCCAGAATTGAACCACACACGAGATGACCACACAGTGCTGTGCCCAAAAAGACCAACATTTGCATTGATACATTATGTGTCTTATAGAAGGCAACTATATTAACCCTGAAGGACTGCTGCCATTTCTTCCCTCTCCTTTGTGTGGGAATGCAGGGAAGCAGCTGACCTGTCATACAGTTTTCTGAAAGTCAATGAAAACTGGGGTTTTTTGTTTTTAGTTTTGTTGTTTTGTTTTGTTTTGTTTTGTTTTGTTTTTATTATTAGACTCCAATCTGAATAGCCTATTCAGCGGGATATTTAAACCCAACCCTAGGATGCTCCCAACTCCAGATGAAAGTAGCTGCATCTGTGGACCACAAAACCCTGGAACAGATGGGAAAAGTGTGGAAGGTGTTATGTGGCTATTGTAGTTCCCATTAGAAAGAGGTGGCAGCTTGAGAAACTTGAAAACTTTAACGACCCTGGGTGGACAGAGGTGCTACATCTGCAGTTAAATCTTCCCCTCACCTTGAGCCCTATGGGGCTCATATGAGACACAAATTTACTTCCATTCAATTCTTTCCTATAATGTGAAATTTTTACAGCATTCAATTGATTATATATAACCATGATGAAAACCAAACCTAAATTCTCAGGGAAAATTTTGTATTTTCCTATAGAATTCAGTGTACTCAGAACTTCAGATATTGTGTAATATTGAAAAATTGATGGATTTTTTTTTTTAACATTCTTATATTAAGAACATAGTGGACCCATTTCTCCAAATCACATTTCAAAATATTTATTGCTCTGCCTTTGTATGTAAGCATCAAAACCATAGGAAACATAATTGCTGCTTCAAGAAATGTACTGAAAGCTTATGCACTCCTGTAACTCGGTATGATACCCCGAATGTCAGTGCAGTGATTCATGCCAGGATTTGATAATTACAGATACGGCTGCCAGGACAGAATGCTCTTCTCATGTGAGTTCTACAAGACTTCTATGGACAAATGGTAGATTTCTGTCACTGGTATGCCTGGGAATATTTCATCTGGGGCTTTGTACACACATGGCATATAAACCCATGGGAACAGGCAGGACAGCAGCAGCTCTACAGCATGAAGGTATTGCCTGAGGAAGGTCCAGCCCATCCTTCAGGCTGCAGCATCTCCTGCACAAGACACTAAATACTCATCCTTTTCCAGATGCTGAAGTACTTTTGTTGCCTAGGAATGCTGTTTGTGTGCCAAGGCCTTCAGCAGACCATCACGTTGATTTTGCATGAAATCATAAGGAAAAAGTGGACATATTTTGCCAACAGAAAAATAGTCCTTCTCAAGGGGAATAATTGCTAGAATAGTTGGGCATATCTTCATGTTGCGAACTTTCTAGCTGCTAGCCAGGTCTGTAAGTAAAGCTTGGGAAAAAAACAACCAATAAAAAAAACACAAACAAACAAACAAAAAAAAAAACCAAAAAAAAAAAAAAAAAACACCAAAAAACAAACCCGAACAATACCCCCAAAACAATATACAGATCAAACTACCATAGCATTTATCATAGATTGAAGGTTGATGTACTAGGCCACCAGATCTGGGATAGCGGCTCCATCATAGGCAGATCTTAATTATATTTATGAAAAGGGCAGATTTTCCAATATCTTCTTGACAAAACTGGAGGAGTGGAGATGACAGGGGGTGCAATACCACCCACTTCACTATGAGAAAGCAAAAAACCCAACAAACTCAAACAAAAAAGACTCCAACATTGGAACACCACAAAAAAACATGTTTAGCTGCTAAATGGGCAGGAGGAGAGAGCCTGGGGAAGCGTAGCAGCCCTTCAGAGGTAAGTAAACCCATTTTAAGAAGCGGGCTAAAAGTGCAGGCAAGACAAGACAGTTTGCTCTTCAGAAGGGGCCCCAGGAATCCCAAGCCCACAGGCAGCCGCAGGGCCGGGCTGGGCTCCTGGCCGGTGGGACAGATGATGGCTGTTTGTACCCTCCACTGCTCTCCTTTGGAAATGCTAACTTGGTTATTCAGCGTCTCCTTTGATGTCCTGATAGGTGCTATTAGATAGTCAATTAGGCATCAACGAGATCGATTGTTTGGGAATAGATGCTTTTCTGTTTGAAGTACCCGTGAACACTAACAGTGCCATCACCCCGCCGCTCCTTTGCCCACGGGAACAATGCGGGCTAACACACAATAAATGACAAATGCTACTGACTCAGCCGGCAGCGCTTCACCCTCTTCCCTCCCGACTCACACGCTGCAAGCCCAGATATCCCCATTCAGCGACTGCGGGAATAAACACGCACTTTGCATTAAAAACGATTTATCGGGGAAATATTTCTGTGTGCTTTGCAGAACTAATGGACAAAGCACCTAGATGAGTTAATTACAAGTTAGCTCGAAACAAACTAGTACTTGAATTTCTATAACTAGTACTTGAATTTCTGTGTACGCCATCGCCACGTGCCTGAGGACTTGTGACACCTCCACAGTTGTTCAGAATTGCCCAGGCAGAATAACTAGGAGCTGAAATAAGAATTAAAGCACTTAGTCTACCTGAATACTGAAGAGACACTGGGATAAGCTCCCTACTAGGATAACACTAGGTTGTGAGTTTAAGACACAAATATAAAGGAAGAGTAGTAAAATCTACACAAGGAACATGTCGAGACCAAGAAGTTTCTCCTCTTTCTTCCCCCCTCCACTTCGGTGGGATTTATCAAGTTAATTGTCATCTAATTGAGTATCAAAGAAAGAGATAATGGGCAGCAATTAGATGTAATGGCCTAACAGTGCGAGATCTCTCTCGATTAGCACACAACGCCGTATAACTTCACCTAGTTTGTAAAGAGGTCCCTGGAGTGGCTCCACCATGTCTAGGAGCTGCAGGGGGGTGGTATAGCCCGACCCTATTCCCAATCCTCTGATGGCTGCTGTAGCCAAATTGGGACGGGCGGTTCCGAGCGCGGTTGCTGGCGGCTCCCCCGCCCCGCGGTGTGAATTCAATCAGGTTTCTCCCCCTCCGCGCACGCACTGCAGGGGAGAAGGTCTTTGAAGTTAGCGCTCTGGCAATTGTCCCCTCCCATCGCCTTTACCTCCCCGGGGAGCCCAGTTTCCAGGTTATACAGTTATACAGCCTCTTCCTCGAGAGCCGCCGGGCCGGGGGGTTCCGTCAATTTCACCCCACGAGCATTAAACTACTCCTCCCCAGCTAATCGACTCGGCTTTTTTTTTTTTTTTTTTTTTTTTTTTTTTTTTTTTTTTTTTTTTTAACCCCGTCTTCCCCGTTCCCATTTGTAGCTCAGTTGCTCACACCGCTTTGCGCTGCCGGAGAGCGTTCCGGTGCTGGGTTATTTGGTGCGATTGAAGACACAAAGGCGGGGATTGGCTGTGGGGGCGTGCGGCGGCTGCGGTGCCGGAGCCGAACCATCCCATCCCATCTCCTGCGAGGGGCTGATACCGTGCGGGTATCACTGACGCTTGTGCCCTTTTACTGCTGCCAGGGCTAAAACACAGGAAATTCAAACAATCAGGAATAAAGTTCGAGTTTCTTTCTCTCAGATCAAAGGAAAAACTTGCATTCACATTTTAATGCCAGAGTCGGACAGCTTTAGCAAAAATGAAATTACTTCACATAAAGCTTTCTAGACAACTGGAACGTAGTAGTTGCCTTCTAGAGAGAGCTGATTTTTGAAGGTAGGAGAGAAATTATCATGTAGACATTCGGAGGAACCTGATATCATTAGGGACTCAGCCAAGTGAGCATCACGTCTCGCGTTCACTTGAGCAATTACCGGGAAACAGAACAGCTAGCCCTGCCAAAGGCAAGGTATTTCATGTGCTTGCTGAACATACCTGTGGCTAAGGAGTAATTATGTTAAGTGAGCATTAGCACCCTTTCGAACAGCGATCGGCTTCTGCTTCTCCAGCCGTTCCGCAGCTCGTAGGCCCAGAGCTGGGATGCCCCGTTATTCCCGCTAGCCAGCGCTCACCCCTGGCACGAAAGCCGCAGCCAGAGCACGGGGGGCCGCACACACCCAGCCAGAGCACGGGGGGCCGCACACAGCCAGCCAGAGCACGGGGGGCCGCACACACCCAGCCGCCACGCTGAACCTCCATCCCCGAGAGCGCCCCGGGGCTGGTGCCGCTCGGGCTCGCAGCCCCGCGTGGCCCGGCGGGGTCCCCACAAACCCTGCGGGCTTAAATCACGGCAGGGACGGCAGCGCTGCGTGTTGTCCCCGGCAGAGCCCCGGCTGTCTCTGCCTGGCTCTAAACCTCTGCACGGAGCTCTAAACCTGCTGTCCGGGCACCGCCGGACACGATGTATAAGGGGAACATCTAACCCTTCAACCATTACTTCCTTGAAAATAGAATAGCCACATGGAGTCTAAAGCTTAATAATTTTATTTTTTTAAACGGTAAATTGTACATTTATTTGCCTTGACTGTTGTGTTATTTTAAACATGACTACTTTAGCACAGAGGAAAATATTCAGGATTGCATTCTTTCCGGAGACAACCCAGTTCTCTAATGATGTTTGAAAGAGATATTTCTTCAAATCAATATTACCGTTTTATGACACCTGACTTTGAGTAATAAGCCTCCATCGAATGGGAATTTTACTTACACGTCAACAAATTTCTTTAGTCCACAACTGCATAATTTTCCTGAGATCTCAATAAGATTGATAGCGCCTGAGCCCTTTTTTAGCTGAGACTCTTGCATTAGAGACACACAATTTGTGCAATTGCAAACAAATACTAACATTTCAAAAGACTAGAAAAATACAGCATAATTACAAAAAAAAAAAAAAAAAAAAAAAAATCAAGGAGACTTGCAGAGGTGACTGCAAAGCCAACTGCCCACAGCATCACATAATGTTGCTTTTTACCAGGCAAGTGTACTCGAGTGGCAGATTGGCCTCTGTATACAAAAGATATTCAAGGAGACTGACAGAGAACCCTCAGAGCATTCATTACAGGAGTTTAAATTACCAGTGTGCCGGAAATATCCTTGTAGCCCCCCAGATCACCTCTAAAGTAATGGAAATTTTTATTGCTCTTTTCATGTTAGTTGACAACTAACTTCGAAAGATTTATGTCAACTTACAGTCAAAGATCATTTCTCAAGAGCCCTTTTTCTGGCCTGAAGTCAGGCCATTTTGATCATCCGTTTACTAGTTCATGATCCAAATTTTACAAGTGCATAGCAGTGGTAAGGAATTTTACTGCCACTTATGGAAAACCAGCTTTGGAATGTTAAAATTCTTTTGATCATCACCCTTATATCCTGATAACTGCATGTGAGATGACTAGATACTGTTTCATAGAGAAGAAATTTCAAGATCCTTTCCATGATCTGTTTAGGTAAGAGGTTCTTACTAATCTACTGAGGCAGCGCAATAAATCGCGAAGATATAATACTTATCTAGAAAGTAATTTCTTATATCTAAAAAGCATCTGTTTTGCTATAGCAAGCCCAGTATTGAGTAACAGGTGTATCCAAATATTTGGCTAAAAGCACAGTTCCATGACAGGGTTGGAGACCTACTTTAGAAGACAGAGGGAAATTCACGCTTTTTTGCATTCAGCAGCAGAGTAAATTGCAGGTGAGGCAGAACAAATCTAGATAAGAAGGAGTCTATATTTCTTTAAGGAAGAGGAACCTTCTTTTGGGGCAGGATGAATACCTCTACAATCCTTGAGAAAGGAATTCACATGAAAGCTGGAAAAAATAGGTTTATTAAAAGATTCCATTTATATTATTGTTTGTCCCACCCCGTTTATATTTTACAATTGCCTACGAATGCAAGGGCCTGAAGTCCATGATTCAGATTGTCCAGCATATCTTTGTAAATGTTTAGATCGGTGCTGCATCATAACTCCTCCAAGCAGTTACGGACGAGGGCAGCCCAGATATCTGTCAGTAGTGCAAATCCTCTTTAGTCCTAGCTGGTGTCAGAGGGTCAGACACCCAGCAGGAAGGCCCTGGGGTCCCGGTACCCTACAAAGCAGGGTGCTGCCCAAAAGCCAGCTGGCTGTGCTCTGCAGGCGCTGCTGATGTCCAGGGCGGGTGCCGGCAGGGCCGCCACCGGGAAGGCCTCGGAGGCCGCCCCTTGCCGGGGCAGAGCCGGCGGCCGGGCCACGTAGGTGAGCGGCAGGGGCACCACAGCGCCCTGAGGTCCGTAAGGGAGAGCGGGGCTGCAGAAGGGCTCCGTCCTCAACTCCTGCAGCTGCCGCTTGAGCTTCATCCGGCGGTTCTGAAACCAGGTCTTGATCTGGAGGAAGAGTACAGGGGAAGGAGAAAAGACAAGGTTACAACGCCGCTCAGACTTGATCATCTCGTTATTGGAGCCGCGCCGCCGCCAGCGCCCCCCGCTCACCTGCACCTCGGAGAGGCGCATCCTGCCCGCCAGCTGCCGGCGCTCGGCCGCGCCCAGGTACTGCTGCCGCTGGAAGGAGCTCTCCAGGGTGCTGATCTGCTCCGCGCTGAACGCCGTGCGCAGCCGCCGCCCGCCGCGGCCGCAGGGCTCCTCCGGGCCCGGGCACTCGGGACCCTCCTCTGGCACGGGCTGCCCCGCTCCCGACGGCCTCCCGCCTGCTCCTGGGGACGGGGACGAGGAGGAAAGGGTCAGCCAGACCCGGCACCGCCTGGGGAACCGCCCGCCCCCTCCATGTCCGAGCACCCCCGCGCAGCGTGCTTGCCCGGGCCGGGGGTCCCACCCCGCCGCCCCCGCCGGAGCCCCCGGCTGTCCCGCGGTACCTGCGGCGGGAGCGGCCGCCGTGCGCTCCCTGCTCCGGCCGCCGCGCCCGTCCCGCGGGCCCGCGGGCCGCTCCTGGCTCCGCTCCCTCTGCCCGGCGCTGGAGCCGGAGCCGGGTCGGTGGCCCGCGGACGATGCTCGGTGCGGGGAGCCCTCGGTGGGGCTCTTGAGAGCTTGGCTACTCTGAGACAGCCATTCCACGGAGAAAGGGGCCTTAGTCATCGTGCCGTGTTTCGCAGATCCCAGGAAGGAGGGTGTCGAGGAGCACGGGCCTCTCCTTTATACCGCAACTCCCGGAGGAAAACGTTGTTTTCAAAGGGCCAGATAAGTATCATCTAATTGCTATCAGTCCTCCCCCCCCAACAAAAGATACAGTTCACACATTGCCCCAGCTCGCGGAGGCTCGGCTCCGCCGTGTCTGCCCCTGAGGAGTTCACTCCGCCGCCAGTGATTTACAGCTCTTGTTACATCCTATCCCCATGCAAATGGCATTTATGGAGCTGAGCAGCCTCAAACGGCGCTGGGGAATGTACCCCCGGGGGAGCGCAGCATCCCCGGCCGCTGGAGGGAGAAGGGACCCTGCTACTTCCGATCTCCCTTCGCTGGAGTTGCTTTTCCATTCCTTTTCAGGCACCAGGCCCACCGTTCTTCTCAAGCTTGCTCCTCTCTGGGCTGAGCACCGCGTTCCCGAGGCAGCCTCAGCCAGGCAAGCGGAGAAACTCACTCACTGGGTTCTCCGGGATTGCAGCACCACGCACTGTGTAGTTTGGAGGAGAAGGTCGTGAAACAGAAAAAGGTAAATGTCAAGGTCATTGGATTCCACGAATCGACAGGCTTCTGGTCGTCTATATAAAAGTATGGTTTCTGGACTAACGAATCAGAAAATGACCATTACTGCTGTGGAATTCACATTCTGCTGAGTGTTCTGCTGAAACTACAGAATTCATGTCATATTTTCCCTCCCAGATCTCTTGCACTTATGCAGGTCATCCACATTTCTCTATCTTACCTGTCCCTTTTTTTCTTCTTACTACCTTATGCGTGTCTTTCAGAAATGTTCCCATTCATCTTTGGGTTTTGTGTGCCACAGAATACTTGATTGCTGCAGTAAAGCCTCTGTAGTACATTGACAAAAGGCTCCTGGTGCTTTATGGGCAGTTTTTCACCGCAGGGTAGCCATGAATTCCATCCCCTTTTCACCCTCCTGTCCTGTGCAGGAACAGAGTGGGACTTCCACTGCATTGATAATTCCTATCACAGCCCTGCTTGGTATCAGTCTGCCTCCAGAGATCACGATTCCACATCTCATTTATCTGTCCTTGTTCTTGCCTGCTGCTTTACACTCACCTTCCACCTGCAGGCAAACCCAGTGCTCTGTTTCTGTCTACCCTGTGACTTGGCCACCGTGCTATTCTGCCACTCAGGCTGCATTTCTCAGCATTCACTTTCTCTGTGGTAACAGTTACTGTAACCACAGTTCCACCTATTTCTTAGACTGTTGGTGAGGCAGAGGTTTGAAGACTGAACCCCCTCCTACTTAGTTTATGTCTAAATCTTTCAATGTATTCAATTTTAATATTATACAGATCTTTTCAGATTTATATCAATCCAGTAGAAGTTTCATTAAAATCCTCTTTGTCAATCTTTTCCTAAACCAAACATTTCAACTTCTTGTCCACTCCAAATACAGTTGTTATATCCACTCATTGTGAAACCCTACAGTTTTTTGTTCACTGGAAAATTGTTTAATTGAACTATATTCAAGTTTGACTTGTGAACCTCTTTTAGGCTCTGTCATTGATTGTTCATGGCATAGTGTGAGTCCTACTTTGCTCTACCAGTGGTGACACTGTTCAAGAGTTTGTCTCTAGCCAAACAAAAATAGAAACACAATTGTCACCTTTATTTAAAGGTATCTAATAACCAATCTAGAACCATAAACATAAATGACCTGAACTCTCCTGAAGCCCTTTGTCTCTGGCCTCTGTAGGTAGCAATTGACGTTGCAGCCTGAGCCCACTAAACAAGCTTCCTGGGGGAAAAATGATGTAAAAATGTGTAAATAAACATTCAAGCATTAATGCCTCCTATATACATTATCTACCTGAAGAAGTCCACAAACACTTCTAGCATGGACAAAGCCTGTGGGAGACAACTCACACAGACACACACATATATACACACAAACATAGATACACACACACATATTTGTGGTGTTTTTTCACCAAACAAATAGATTTGTTTGATATCTAAATATTTGACTCCTTATCCATTTATAATTCCCAAGTATTTTCCAATTAACCATGGAAAGTTTAGAAAGTTTATTTGACCAGGCAGCACAAAATTGCTTTTAAATTTCCCGTTTTATAACGGACACCCCCACCAACCCCCCTACCCCAGCTTGAATATTTCCCGTTCTTAGTTGTTCTTTTCTTTAGGTAAATGTGAAGACTTCCCCCACCACAGACCTGAGGATAAATTATAAAATCCCAGAACTTCTGAGCATTAGACAGTTCTGTTGGCAACATATGTCACAGAGCAGACCAAGCAGGCAGGAGATGGAGAGGAGACATAGAGGAATGTGCTCTGCTCACTGAATTACTGAAGGACAAGTCACTTGGCTCAGCTGCATTAACACGTGGCCTGACAGCCAGCTCTCCAGTCACAACTGGGAATTTCAGTGCCACTGCCTTCTTGCAGAATCCTGCCAAGCCTCCCCTGCAGTCAGGCAAAATGCCATTCTCAAGGACTAATTCTCAGGAACATCAGAAAAAGAAAGTGTAACTTTTCTGCAAACTTCCTTCTCAGTTTAAGTATTTCTGATCACTGTAACAGCATTCTCCATCACAGATGGGACACAATCCCATCCCAATGAGATAAATATGTCCCATGTACCCAGAATTATTTCCAGTCTTACAGAATATTGTGTATAAATATAAACAATATACTTGTACCCTATGTATGTTCTTCTATATAACATATACCGCTATTCAAATACTTGTAAAAATATGAAAGAGTCTATTTCCATGACATTACCTTTTCCAGCTTTATGCCAACAAATAAAGACACTTGGCAAGCCGTCATTTAGGACAAAAAGAATACATGACTTATGATGGAGCTCTAAAAATAGAAAATATTGAGTTTTATCATCCTCTGATACATCTGCCTTTACTGATTTGAAGACATTTTACCATCTGAGCTGCAAATTACATCTTTATACACTGCTGGTTTATTAATTGCATTGTATTGAAGCAAGTGGCAGTGCAGAAAAGATGGTGTCAAATTCTGAGCTCCCAGAGACACAAATTGATCATGGTGTGACAAGATTAAACCAAATCTCATTTCCATTGCACATAAAATGTGTACGTCTCCTGGACAGGTAGCAAATGACTTCTGAATGTAGTGACTGCTACAATATTTAACAACTGCTAGTTTAATTTTATCTAAAATTCTTAAGCTGCCTTCTTTCTGTTTCTATCTATTATTCATTAAATACTTGTTTGAAAATCTCTTGCTAAACTGTGATTCAGAAATACCATGTTTGAAATCAAGTGATATTACCAGCATGATGAAAACCTGCTCATGCTAATGACATTTGTCAGAGTAGGGCAGGGACTGACAGTAGCTTTTACTCTGCTGCTACAGGGGGGCAGAGACAAAGAGCTCAGACATACCAACATGATTGTCACTAGCAGGAGTCTGGAGATCCATTACCATAGATAATGGCAATACTCTATGCAGATGTTTGCAGAATACACAGCCTCCTTCTCTGGGGAGGCAGCACCTTCCCCTTCAGCTTTGCAGAAATCTTCACACACAACTCTGCTCTCATGTTGAAGAGGTTCTGCAGAACTTCCTACTTGGCTGCCTACTAGAGAGTTGATAATATTTAGAAATATAGGATAATAGATAATAAATAGAAATATTTTGGGATTATGTCTCAGCCTTTGTGAATTACTTTTGGCTCCACATCTTGCAGCCCAGAGCTCAGCTGTGCCCTGTTGTAAATGCAGGCGAACCCAGTGGGAAGAAATGACGATGTCTGACTCAATTCAGAAGGCTGAATTATTTCTTTATTATAACTATGCTAAAATACATTAATATACTATATAAAAGGAGGATACTAAAACTACATACTACTTTTCTCTGACTCTAACTCCGACACAACTCGTGACCCTCTCTCTCGAGTCCAGCCCCAGGTGGATTGGATTGGCCATCAGGCTCAAACAATCCTCACCAGAATCCAATCAAGCACTCACCCCAGGTAAAAAATTCTCCAAACAAATTCCACATAGGAAAAACAAGGAGCAGTAATAGAAATTGTTTTCTCTTTCATTTCTCTCTGTGCACCTCTATGAAAAATCCTGAGAGGGAGAGAAATGTGCTTACCACAGTGCCCCAGTAAGCCCAAAGTTCAGAGCCCTGCAAGGGGGCAGGATTGTTCTGAGGTGTCCCCTCGTGTTGGAGCTGTGGAGGAGCTGAAGGGAGCAGCTGAGGGTGCCTCTGCCTCGGCTTCCCCACAGGTACCAGGGAGAGCTGCCACCACTGGCCTTGCTGCCGTGGGTACACAAGACCACAGGAAGGGACTGGCATTTTGTACCCTTTCCCATTGGAGGGTCCGGTGAGCCCAGAGCAGAGGGAATCTGTGGTTCTCAGGGGTAGCTAGGTGGGGGTGCAACTCAAGGAGTAAAAACCAGGCCCTTTATGCCACACAGGGGCCGTGTGCTCACCTGTGGACATGCAGATTTCCCAGGAAGGGCTGCCCAGGGAAGCTGGGCTGCTGCATCCTGCTGTGCAATATTCACGCTCTTTGCCCTGGTGTGTTTATCCAAACATTCAGTTTCTGAGTAATCACTATTTAAGACTATTTAGGACTCCAACCAATCTCTTAATTATCAATTATTATCATTATCTTTCCTCTTTGACAGAATAAGATCTACTTTTCTACAAGGCATTTAAGGACCATATGTGCATAAATACCAGGAGGGCCTGGTATAAACATAGTGACAATGCACAGATGAAAATTTAATGTCTCATCATGTTTGGAATTGATCTAAATCAACACAGCACTCATAATGCCAAGAGCTCCCAAGGCTCCTCAATACAAGGCTGCCACCAGCAGCTAAAAAGAATCAGTGAAATGTTTTAAAAAATATATATATTCTGCAGAGACATGCTGCAAATATTAATAGAGAAAACACTTGTTTTAATGGCTCCTTACCCAAATTTAAGCTTATTTTAAAAAGGTCAAATTCAGAAGGAAGCAGGACCACATTTAGAACATGTACTGCTGTTGTTACAGAAGC